TTTTGTCAGGGGATTGGGAGAGGTGTCACTCTCAACTGTGCTCAAGGCTTACTCCTGGCTCTGCACTCAGGGATCACTTCTGACAAGGCTCAGGGAACCATATAGAGTGCTAAGGATTGAACCTGGGTCGGTGGCATGCAAGGCAATGCCCTATCCACTGTCCTATTGTTCCAGCCCCTTCTAATCATTTTCTAAAGGTCTTTTTACATATTTTTCTCCAGTGCTTCTGGGACCCAGCTGAGTGTGTGTGTGTGTGTGTGTGTGTGTGTGTGTGTGTGACATGGGGATCAAGGGTTCTTTGGCTCATCACAGTAAGCTGGGCTTTCTGAGATTGTGTACTGAGCATTCCACCTTCCACCCATTGTTCTGGGTCTACAATTCATCCTAGTTTACAATTCCCCATGTACAATGCAATGCTATACAGTATAGAGGGCAGTATAACAAAATGCAGTGTAGTGTAATGCGATTTAACAAAACATAGAGCTCCCACTGGTCTCTTTCTGAGCTCTCTTCTCTCACAGAGGCACTGATTTGCTTTTGCACTGAAAAAACACATTCCTATTAGCCTCACTGCATGTCTCAATACTCGTGGAGCAAGAAGCTTATTTCTTTGCCAATCTGTGTGCTCCTTACCTCTTACATCACCCTCCAGAAAACAATTCCCCACCCTTAATTGGAGCAATCTCTGTTCCTTTCCTGGTTCAGGGACAGAACTGGGAAATGCACATCCTCATCCAAACAGGGAAAGTCTCACCTGCCCAGAGAAACCTGCACAATGTTTGAGCTTTGCTGTTTAGCTTCCAAAAACTTGCTTTTCTGTGACTCTATACTTGCACCCTGAGCACTCTCCGGCCCCTGGTGGATGGCTTTTCATCCACGTTGGGCATGGGCCTGAGCAATCTTTCTAGTGGAGGCAAGGATGGCGACAGCTCAGTTTTGCCCAGTTTGCCTTGTGTTGAATCTGACAGCTACACAATGCAGGGAAGTAATCTGGTCCTTCTGGTGCCAGCTGCCCTCTCATTTCCTGTTCACCTCTGAGTTGAAACCTGAGCGTAGTCACCAGCACTCTGCCATGCAGAGGAAAAAGCAAGGAATGGGGCGGGTGGGATTCAATCTGGATTCTCCTCCTCAGCTAGCAAACATGACATCGGCACATTACCTTTGAAATTACTGGACAGACAGTCCAGTGGGGGATGGCACTTGCCTTGCACGTGGCCAACTTGGATTTGAGCCCCAGCACTGCATACATCCCCCCTGAGTCTGCCAGGAGTGATCCTTGAGCATCACTGGATGTGCATTTGCCCCCCCCCCCCCAATAGAATAAAATGGTTAAATTTTCAGTCAAGAATGAAACTAGACCATGATCCCAGAGAGTCAGAAACAAATCTCGGAACCCAGCGGCTTTTGGCAGAAATGCGTCCGGTCCCTTCAGTAGGTTACCAGCTTTGGGCCACCCCAGGTGGGAATAGGCTTTGTGCCTTGGCCTGTTCCCCCTGGCGGCCCAGTGGCTGCCATCCTCCAGAGGTCACTGGACAGTCAGGTTTGGGCCCGCATTGATGAGACACGTGGGGCCTCACGGGATGGGGGTGGAACCAGTCCTTTCCTCCCCATCCCAACAAGACCCTGAGTCGCCACCCATGAACGGCCTCTCTGACTCCTGATCAAGCTGCTTAACGCCATGATCCCAGAAAATCAGGAACAAATATCAGAACCCAGCAGGTTTTGGCAGAAATCCCTCCAGATTTAATTGTTAAAATTTCAGAATTTCAAAATTGCACGGCCACTACTGCAGCCACATGACATCATATGTTATTCATAACCAGCAATAGAAAACAAATTGTCTACTATTGCCTTTTCGGCAGATCTGAGTGTTGGGGTAAAATCCCAAATAATAATGGTGGGTCTGGTGTCAAAATATTGAGTGTAATCAAAGTATAGAGAGAGAAATGTGTAAATCATCTGCCCCACCAGTAGGGGGAGGGTGCGGGATGGGGATATACTGGGGTTTTTGGTGGTGGAGAATAGACACTGGTGAAGGTACAGGTGTTTCATTTTATGACTGAGACTTAAACCCGAAAGCTTTGTAACTGCTTTCACGGTGATTCAATAAATAAAATTATACAAAATGAAAAAAAAAGTAAGGTGGAATTCATGTCCAATTCAATCATCCTAATCAGTGGCTGAATAAATAGCAGTACTCCTACATAAAAAAAAAAAAAGAATGAAACTAGAGGGCAGGAGAGGTAGTGCAGAGGGTAGAGCTCTTGCCTTGCGTGTGGCCTGCCCCAGTTCAATCCGTGGCACCACATGTGGACCAACCCTGGCACCATAGATGGTGCCAGGAGTGATCTCTGAGCACGGATCCAGGAGTGAACCTTGAGCACTCTCCCGCCACTCCCCCCATAAAGAATGAAACTAGAGACAGAAACTAAAGAAATAGCATAAACATAAGCCAAATGCAACATAAGGATTATATAGGCAATTATCTAATTTCTAGAACTCTATGCATGTACATTCATATTGATTTGTGCCAAGTTGATAGATAGGCAAAACTTGTGAATGGAGATCACAGAAGTGACCACACACAACGAGGTACAGTGACAGTCCCCTGGCCACGTTCTCCAGCACCCTTTGGATGCTGGTTATGAGTTTCTGATCTGGTTTGCAAAATTCTTCTTATTTAAGAACTGACGAGAGGTGGACTTTGCTGATTCTATGTCTTCTATCAAGGAATTGTTCACCTAAAATATTGCTGAAAGGATGCCAAGGGTAGACTCCATTGGCTGTTTACTCAGTACTTCGCATGTTTGGTAAGAGAATCCTAAATTCCCTCCATCTGAGCCTGCGCCCTTCACTGTACACGCCGGTGGGTGTTTCAAGAAATGGAACCTGTGTATCAAGCAAATCACATTTCCACCTCAACTGTGATTGGTTTAGAGAAAGATGGACAGCCCAATCTGGCCAATGAGAATGAGGGATATTCAGCACTGATTGTTTCTGGAGCTGTGCCTGCTTTCTTAATTTAGAGGAACCATAGCACGCGGAGTAGGGCATTTCCCTGGCCCCCAGCCCACCCAGACTTGGGTTCGAGAGACCGACTACAGTTATTGGGCCTGAGCCCATCCTGGGGAGATGCAAGTGAGGTCCAGAGAAACGGAACTGGCGCCCTCGCTTCCTTTTCCTGGAGCTGTCCTTATCTTTATCGCTTGGTATATAAGTCAAACCTTATCAAAACGGAATTTTTGCCAGAGGATATTAACATAGTTTTGGAAAAATAGGCTCAAGGTTGCTCCTAAGCTAAGGCTTCCACTCGGATCTAGATCCCTCATTGCTATTCTGAATGTGAATTTACCTGCGCCTGGAATTGCTCTGCACTCCTCACACCTCCCTGCAGTTGAGCAACACATGAATCATTGCCTAGCCAGTATCCCCACCTTGGCACCCTCACCTTCCCCGTGTCCCCTCAGACTGCTGTGGGCCACAGGGAAGGTGAGGACGGTTGCTGTACCAACACTCTTGTCTTTCTCCACAAGAGCCACCTGTCACCCCCTTATTCCACAGCTTCCTTTCTGTCAGAGGTTACACCCCACAGCAGAGACTGGAAGTGCTGTGTTCACATTCTCCCAGCTTCCCTTCCTCTGCTGCAATGGGCATGTGTCTGACAGGGGAGGAGGAAGAGACCAGCACTGGGGAAAGATTTTCTTTCCTTAAAAGAGTGTTGCCAGGGCTAGAGCGATAGTACAGCGGATAGGGCATTGGCCTTGCATGCGACCGACCCAGGTTCGAATCCCAGCATCCCATGTGGTCCCCTGAGCACTGCCAGGAGTAACCCCTGTGCATTGCCGGGAGTGACCCAAAAACACCAAAAATAAATAAATAAATAAATAAATAAATAAGAGTGTTTCCAGGGGCCATGCAGTGGTAAAGAAGCACAGGCCTTGCAGTCATGAAACTTGGGTTCAGTCCCTGGCCCTAAAGAAGAAAAACAAACAAAACAGAAAAAAACAGGCCAAAGAACTAGCACAGGATCTAAGGTGCTTTCCCCGAATGTGCTACACCCAGGTTGGAGCCCTGGTATCAAATATGGTCTAAGCACCACCAGGGCTCACTCCTGAGTTGGAGCATCACTGGATATGACCCAAACTGCCCCCTAAAAGTACTCCTCCCTCGTTCCCTCCCTCCCTTCCTTCCCTCTTTCCTTCCTTTGTTCCTTGCTTCCTTCTCTCCTTCCCTCTCTCCCTTTCTTCCTCATTCCCTCTCTTTTGTGTTCCCTTTCTATTTCTTCCTCCCTTCCTTCTTTTGGACCACACTCAGCTGGGCTCAAGGGTTACTCACATCGGGGCTGGAGCAATAGCACAGCGGGTAGGGCGTTTGCCTTGCGCATGGCCGACCCGGGTTCGATTCCCAGCATCCCATATGGTCCCCTGGGCACCGCCAGGTGTAACTCCTGAGTGCAGAGCTAGGAGTAACCCCTGTGCATCGCCAGGTGTGACCCAAAAAGAAAAAAAAAGGGTTACTCACATCATGGTTGGGGATCACCCTTGGAGGAGTGTGTGGTGCTGGGATGGAAGCTGAGTCAACAACCTGCCATCCCTAAGTCCTTCCCAGCCCTATCAGCTGTCTCTGTTCAAAGATGCTTGGCCAGTCAGAGGCAGTGAAGGAGTCACCAGGAACTTATTCTCAGACTCTTTATTTCTAGGACCAAATGTGGGTTGTGGCTACAGAGATGGGAGTGGGCTCTGAGCCCCAGGGGTGAGTGGGGGGCACTGCACCCCAGCCATTTCAGAAACTGTTTCAAGGACAGCTAGAGAGGCAAGTTCAGCCTGCTGTTGACAGAGCAGGAATGCAGAGCCCAATTCTAGGACACTCAAGGGGCTTCCTGGGGAGAGGAGTATCTCTACCATCTTCAGGAAGGAGATGGCAAGGAGGGGATCCAGAGGGCGGGTCAGGGTGGGCAACTGGAGGGTATGCCACATCAGGGTGCTGGGTCCAGTGTTGACTCACGAGTTGGAGCGGATGGTGTCCTGGATCCATTTGGTGAAGCGGCAGAGGTTGGTGTAGACGCCGGGCTTGTTGGGCTTGCCACATGGGAAGTCTCCCCATGACACAAGGCCCTGGAGGGAGCCATTGCAGACCACGGGGCCCCCGGAATCACCCTGCAGAGTGGGGGGGGTCACAGTGGAAGTAGGGGTGAGTGGAGGGAGGGATAACAGAGAATGGGGGTGGCAAGATGGGGACATGGGTGTGAAAGGGGAAGGTGGGGAGGCAGGTACGGAGGGAGAAGACTAGCACTGCACCTGCCCCCCCCACCCTGGCCCCTGACCTCTGCCCTTCCCAAGGCTCCTCCTCAAGCTATGCCCTCTGGTTCCGCACCCACATCTGACCCCACTCCCCTTGTTCTCATACCTCTCTTCCGTAGAGAGACAGTTAAGGAGTCCCTGCAAGGGTCTGACATTGGGTTGAATGACTCCATGTGGGGGGCCATTGTGGGGCCCCCAAGAAGTGGAGCAGTGTCCCTGGGCATTTACCCACTAAATGCCAGTCACCACTTTACCCCTCAGCCACAGTGAGGCAACCAAGTCTTTGGCATTGCTGGGGCCAGAGTGGCCAGCAGGTCGCTTGCCTGCATGTGGCCAACCTGGGTTTGATTCCCAGCACCCTGTATGGTCTCCAGAGCCCTGATGTGAGTGATCCCTGGGCACAGAGCCAGGAATACCACTGGGTGTGGCCGTTCCCTACAAATAGACTTCAGCATGTCTAATGATGTCTAGATGAGACCCACTATCTTGGTCTAATTTGGGGGTCCTGGCCTGTATTTTCCAGCGCTCCCTCCCCGTATCCTTCTAGAAGTACTGTCCTGTTCTTTGTCACTCCTTAGTTCTGTTCGTGCAGACAATGAGTGGCCGTGGAGCCCTGGCATCAGCTCTGAGGAGGCGGAAGACAGGCGTCTGCCCCTCTCAACGTCCCCCCGCCTCCACTCCCGCACCCCAAGGACTCAGCTTCCGGGCAAAGGGGCTTGGCTGTCTGGATGGGTGAATCCGGTGGCTCCACTTTGCCATTATTATGTTTGGTTTAACATGGCAGAACATCATTTGCCAGGACTGCAGCTAACTGCCTCGAGCCTCAGCGGCTGGTGATAAAATGGAGCTAGAAATCCCGTGTGGAGTTCATGGGCAGGTACACGAGAACCTGCAAGCATCCTGCAATTAGCTGGAAACTTGGTTGCTATCCGGTTGGTATTTGTGCTATTGTAGTGGTTATTTTTTACTTTTGTTTTTTTCCGTAAGGGGGGGCATAGCTGGTGATGCTCAGGGGTTACTCCTGGCTCTGCACTCAGGAATCACTCCTGGCACTACTCAGGGAACCATATGGGATGCTGGGGATCGAACCTGGGTTGCTGCCTGCAAGAAAAGCACCCTCCATACTGTACTATCGCTCCGGCCCTGTTTCTTGCTTTTAATGGCCATACTCTGAACACTCTCCAAAGGACAAAAAAGGGACAGAAGGCTGGAGAGAGAGAGAGAAAGTCCGAAGTTGTGAGTTCAGGCTTTGGGGGTCAGCTGGCTTGATCCCCAGCTCCGCCTGGTTCCCAGATCACCTTTAGATCACCTTCTCTCTGGGTCCTCCTGGTGTGGACTCCACCCCGAACTGGTGGGGACAGATTAGAAACTGGGCAATCTGGGAAGTTGCTGCAATTGTCAGGTTTATAATAATAATAATAATAATAATAATAATAATAATAATAATAAAAAACCCCAAAACTTGGCAGTGGGGAGGAGTCAGGTGGTCAGGGTCATCAGGATGGAACTGACTCTGCTATGTGACCTCCCAGCACAGGGCAGCCAGCATCATGGGAACATGGACAATGTGCAGCGACCTGGGGGTCGGCCCAGGTGGAGGCACTGCAGCCTCAGCCTCCCAGCTGCCACCAGCGCTGCCATCTGTGTTCATTAAACCATGTGCAGGTGTGCTGGTGTGAATGGGCTCAGTCTCCCTCAACGGAGCTCAGCATTCCCCAAGAACATGGAGACTGTCTGCACCAGAGAGTCCAGAATTATCTGTGCCATGTGTGACTCTTCCGCCTCTGCAATCTGTGCTCCCAGGGATCTCTCCAGGCAGTGCTCGGGGTCCATGAGTGGTGCCGAGGATGAACTCCAGGGTGGCCATGGGCAAGGCCAGCACCTTAACCTCTGTGTCATCTCTCCAGCCCTGCCATGTCCCTCAAACAGTTTACTGGGGGTCTGGATGATGACGCAGACAGCGAGAGAACCAGCGTCACACTCAGGAGGAGTTCAGTGCCTGAGTTCAGTTCGGTATATATATATATTTTTTCCCTTATGGAAATATATATATATTTTTTTCCGTAGGGGGAAAAATATATATCAATTTGTTCAAGCTGGCACCAGTAATGTCTCCATTGTGAGACTTGTTGTTACTGTTTTTGGCATATTGAATACACCACGGGGAGCTTGCCAGGCTCTACCATGTGGGCAGGATACTCTTGGTAGCTTGCCGGGCTCTCCGAGAGGGATGGAGGAATCAAACCCAGGTCGGCTGCATGCAAGGCAAACGCCCTACCCGCTGTGCTATTACTCCAGCCCTTATATATATATTATATATAATAAATATAATGGAAATTTATTATACTTGGTTTTATGGTCTTTTGGGAAGCCACACCCAGCGATGCTCAGAGGTACTCCTGGCGCTGCACTCAGGAATTACTCCTAGCAGTGTGCAGGAGAACCATACAGGATACCGGGGATCGAACCCGGGTCAGCCACATTCAAGGCAAAAGCCCTCCCCACTGCATTAACACTCCAGCCCCCTATATTTGCTTTTATAATTGACTTAAAGAATGTACTTTGGGGCCGGAGCAATAGCACAGTGGTAGGGCGTTTGCCTTGCACACGGCTGACCCGGGTTTGATTCCCAGCATCTTATATGGTCCTCTGAGCACCGCCAGAGGTAATCCTGAATAGGGAGCCAGGAGTAACCCCTGTACATCGCCGGGTGTGACCCAAAAAGAAAAAAATACAATGTACTTTAAGGAGATAACTTTTGCTTATGAGTGGAAAGTTTTTTTTTTTTTAAAGGTGCCACCTTATTTGCACTTGGGATGAATTTCTCTGTTCCACATGAAAACAATGCTGATTTTAGGAAACTGTCACCAGACTGATCAGGAATCATTCTTGCCTACGCCCCCACAGGGTGTGAGCACAAAACAAAGGAATGGTGCATTACAGTGATGCCCACTAGAAACATGCTCGGGAAGCCCTGAGCTTGGGCTAAGGCTTCAGGTGTTGATCTAGCCTTGACCCACCAGTTTGACCAGCAGGTGTAATTAAGCCCTCCTTGTTCCCTTAGTATGGATGGTCTCAGTGTGCTTCATTAAAAAAATATCCAGTACAACATCTGTAGCAACAGTGAGTGACCCTTGAATACCAGAAGTAGCCCCCAAGCATTACTGGGTGTGACACAAAACCAACGAATCCACCAGGCAACAATCCCCTCCAAAACCAAAGCCTGACAATCCCCTCCAAAACACCAAAGCCTGGGTTTATTTCACCTGTTGCCCCCCCCATTCTCTCTCTCTCCCTCCCTCGCCCTTCCTTTTTCTTTTTTGGCTTTTTGGGTCATGCCTGGCAATGCTCAGGGTTTACTCCTGGAAGTGCTTGCGGGACCATCTGGGATGCTGAGGATGGACCCTGAGTCAACCACGTGCAAGGCAAATGCCAAATTCTTTACCCACTATACTATCACTTCCATCCCACCTTTTCCTTTTCTTCCTTTCTAAAAAGTTTCTACTAGGAAATTTAGCAAGACATGACGTATCTGTGGGTAGCAGTGCTCCAAAGCAGGAACTCCAAGAAAACAGGGCTCTTCATGGACCTGGCATTTGGTGGCTCTTAGCAAAGTTCCCAGTGTCATAGCTGCCACCGAGGCTGTTTGCCCTGAAGCTGAGATAGCGAGTCTTACCTGGCAAGAATCTCTGCCTGCTTCATCGCCTGCACAGAACATGGTGGCATCTATCTGTCCTGGGTAGGCCGAATTGCATTTGTCCTGACTTAGCACGGTGACATTCAAGCACTGGAGGACGTTGGGGAAGCTCACTGTCAAAGAGAGATGTGTAGAGAAGAGTGAGTGACCCAGGGCGGAATGCTGAGAGGCAGAGATGGGGGGGCCAGGAGGCAGCTGTGGACAGAGACTCACCCTGGGGACTGGTGGTTGTTCCCCAGCCCGACACTTCGCAGTTGGTTCCAGCGGAGGGACACTGGGTGGCGATGTGGATGGGTTTGACAGAGTCACTTACAACGATTCTTTTATTCAGTTTGATGAGCATGAGGTCATTGGAATGGCCAGGGTGCTTATAGCCGGGGTGGGGGATGGATTTGATCCCCTGGAACAGCTGCTGCCCAGATTCATAGGCGGAGGACAGGGAATAGTGGCCAAGGCGGATTTTAACAAATCTGAAGAAGTTAGTGGTACAGATTGGCACCAGCCCTGATCCCATCCAAGCCCAGCCCCACTCTCGGCCTCAGTGCAAACATCACATGGCCCTGTGCCTTCCCCCCATCCCCCATCAGAGCTCCAAACCCATCCCATGTCCCAATATAAAACAACAGATGTGCTCCGAATCCCAAACCTTCAACCCCAAATCCAACATCTCCAGGTCAAGTTCAAATCCAACTACCCCTAGCACCACCCATGACTCTAATCCCAGCCCCGTGTGCACTTCTGTATCCACTCCCAATCTCGACTCTACTCCAGCTTTGTCTTTATCTCCACTCCACCACCCCCGCCTCCCAAACCATCCACAGAGGGATGCCCACCTCACACCCAACTCAGACCCAACCTTACACCCAACGCTAACCCCTCACTCAAATCAACACCTGCATGCCCAAGCCCAAATCCAGCCACCTTCAATCCCCTGCCGAACTCCAACCCACTCCGTCTTCCATCCCGCATCTGTTTCCTGGTCCTGCCCACCCCTGGGTCACACCCCATTCTGCAGCCCGCACAGCGCCCCTGATAGCTTCCACTCACTGCTTGTGGCAGTGCGCCGCAGTGAGTAGCCACTGAGGATCCACCAACACAGCCCCGCAGTAGAGCGTGTTGGACTTCAGCAGCAGGGCGCCCTGCCATGGCTGGGCGTTCTCGGTGCAGTTCTTCCCATTCATGATGCGGTTGCTGTCCGACCGGGTGTCCTCCCTGGTCCCAGCGGCAAGATTCTGGGTGCTCCAAGAAGGCCCATTGACAGAGGGGTAGTTGCAGGATGAGGCAACATTCGCAGGAAAGGGCTCTGGGATTTTAAAAGGTGAGTGGGGCTTGGGTCAGGAGCAGGGCCAGCTGGAGGATGCCTGAGTGCTGATTGGCTCGGAATCTGGGGGGGCAGGGCCAGGGCTTCAGGAGGCGGGGCCAGGTTGGGCCCTGGCCAATCAGCATGGAGTGGCTGAAGCGCGGTGGAGGCTTAGTTCTTCAGGTTCGGGTCGTGATACTGGACTAAAGGGACCTCAGGATGTCTATTAGTGGGCAGCCACTGGAGCGGAGCCAGCATGTGGTCGTGATACTGGACTAAAGGGACCTCAGGATGTCTATTAGTGGGCAGCCACTGGAGCGGAGCCAGCACGTGGGGGAGGGGCAATGATGAGGGGGTGGGACCTGAGACGGGGGTAGGGTGGGGGGACTTGGAGTCCACTTGGGAGGTGTGGATGGCGGCTTAGCTGCTCCATCCACACCATGAGCCGTGATTTTAGGGGAGGGTCCAGGAACGGACAACAGGGGAGCCTGAGGGCCTGTTCAGATCACAGAGAGGGGCTCTAAAGGGAGGAGCCGCGGGCCCAGGGACCCCGACTTCAGTGGAGATCCTGCCTTTGAGGAAATGAGGTGGAGTGAGAGTTGGGGCCTGGGGAGAACCAGGCCAGAGCCCAGTGAACTCTCCAGCAGAGTGCTACCTGGCTCCCACGTCAGGCACTCAGACCACGGACAGACAGACCCTCGAGCAGCCCCCAGCCCCCCTCCCCACCGCTTTCCTCTGTGCTGCCCCCTTGGGGGCTATGCGCCCACATGGGTTGCCACAGACCAGCACACACACAGTACTGGGGCTCCACAGCTGCAAATACTCGCGGTAGCCGCAGGCACTGCCTCATGCACACATGTGTGGGCATCAGGCCGCGTGAGCCTGGCAAGAGGCGGGATCACCCACCTGGGTCACCCGCCTTCACACAGCCACTGTCTCCACACTCGCTCCCTCCCGCAGGCTAGGGACAGCGCACCAGCTGCCCATTATGTGGCGTTCCAGCCAACCACCTGGACATAGCCTCTAGTGGTCACACGGGCCCCACAGGTCATCCATTCGCTGCTTGCATATGACCCCCAGTGGTCACCCAGCCACAATGTTCACCACAACGAGCCCTTTTGTTCCACTCAATCCTGTGAAACAGGATGCGACTCCCAGAGGTCAGCAGACACACATAGAGGGTGTCACAGCACAAACCATTAGACAGTCTCAAGCAACCAACACCCAGCCACGTTATTACAGAGGGTCACTCACTAGGGGACAAGGATATATAACACACACAAGCACAGCCACAGCCACACACAACCACACATGGTCACATACAACTATAAGCAGAGCCACACACAACTGCACACAACCACAAACAACCACAAACACAGCTACACATACTCACACAGCCACATAAAATCATACCCAATTACACACAGAGTCACATACAACCACATACTACAATACACAATCACACAGCCACACATAATCATACAAGTACACACACAGACTCACACTCCTGCGTCTGGGACTCCTGTCGGTTCTCCCAGGGTCCCTGATGGGCACTGCATGTTTCGGGGATGCCCGGGTCTCTGATGGGCACTGCAGTGTCTCCGGGATGCCCGGGGTCCCTGATGGGCACTGCCTGTCTCAGGGATTCCCGGGTCCCTGATGGGCACTGGAGTATCTTGGGCTGCTCCAAGGGGCCTACTTACCCGTCAGCCCCAGAGCCAGGCTGGTGGTCAGGACGCCTAACATCCAGGGCAGTGCGGTGGCCATGGCTGCGTCTGTGCGGGGCGGGGAGGATGCAGGAGCAACTCTCAGAGCCCCCATCCTCCCCCACCCCTCCATTCAGGAGAACAAGCTTGCCCAGAAGCTGAGTGGAGACTCAGTGGCTTCAGAGGGGCTGACCTCCGCCCTCGCCCTGATGAGGGGGAGGGTAGGACAGGAGGGGAAGACGGAGGCATGGGGGTAGCGGCCATGCCCACCCTGAGCCCTCCCCGGGCTCACCTGTGTCCCCCAGGTAGGGGTGGGGAGCCTCTTCCAGCTCCGCCGCAGCCGCCACTGACTCGCGCCTGCTGCTTCCGGCGCTGGCCTGTGTTATAACCACCCACTGAGCCCCAGGGGCGAATTCCCAGGGTGTGAGGTGCCCGCCCGCTCCGCCAGGGCCTCAGCAATCACTCCTCCGGTCCCCTTCCTCCGCCCCAGAGCACCCGCCACCCAGTGGCGCGGCCCCTCCCCGAGAGGGAGGGTTTCTGGACAGCCGCGCCCCCCACCCCCACCCCAGCCCGGGAACGCCTGTCTCCCAATAGTCCAGCCCTCAGCCCCGCTACCCTCGGTCACTGTCCAGCCCGCTGGCCTCTCTCCTTTCCTGCGGGTCCCTCTCCCAAATCTCCCCGGCCTCTATCCAAGCCCAGTTCCTGACCCTGTCTGTCTCTCTGGGTCTGTCTGTCTTTCTGTCTCCCTGGTCCTGCCGTTTAGAGACAGATCTCTGCCAGTGAGTGGAGCAACAACCCTGCCCCCTCCTCACGCTGGCTCTGGGCAGGGGTGCAGTCCAGCCTGGAGATCCCGGCTCCGCTGCAGGTGCCTTGCTTAGCAGGACTGTGCCAGCCTCGTGTGGGCGCAGGAGTTGGGCAGGGCCGACCGTGGGGGCAGAGCCCTGGAGGCTGGGCTGGGGCGGGTGGGTGACTCTTTGGGAAATGGGGCGCTGGGCGGGGATCCTACAAGGTAACGTCTCCCCCTTCAGAAGGCTGGGTGGGGCCGCTCATTGCCTCCTCCACTTCTCTAGCTCTTCCCTCTGCCCCCCCCCCCAACACACACACACACACACACACACACACACACACACACACACACACACACAGAGAGAGAACAGAGGCCTTTTTGTTCTGTTTTGTAATCCAGAATCTGTTGATTAGTTTTGGGGACCCAAGAGATACATAGCCGGGAGGGCATTCGGCTTACACACAGCAAATCTGGGTTCGATCCCTGGTACTCCATATAGTCCCCAAGTACCGCCAGGGGTAATTCCTGAATGAACCAGGAGTAACCCCTGAGCATCGCTCGGTGTGACCCAAAATACAAAACAACAACAACAACAAAATAGGAGTTTTGGTTTCATTTATATTATCTTTTTTGGGGGCAATCCCATCTGGCAGTGCTCAGGAGCAGCTCCTGGATTTGTGCTCTGGGGTCGCTCCTTGGGGGAGCATGATTGATCCGGGTGGGAGTGATTGAACCCCCAGTCTTTTCATAGACCTTTGAATTCTCCATTTCAGGGGTCATTTATTTTAATTTACGCATTTATTTTGGGCTCCCAAGGGGCACTCAGGGGTTTGGGGGACACTGCAGTGATGCTCAGCTGTCCTATGCCAGCGTCCAAAGATGTGGTGCTGATCAGGTGCTGCAGTATTGGGAACCCCCAGGGCCACCTAGTGGTGCTTGGGAGGGGGCGAGCCACACCCAGCAGCTCCCTGGGAACTCCAGGACTGAGGTGCTGCAGTGGAACGAGGTTAAGGTGTGTGCTCCACTGCACTGGCCCATGAACAGGAGGCTTTATTTGATTTTTAGTTTGGCAGTCCTCAGGGATGACTCCTGATGGTGCTTGGGGGTCTATGTGGGTGCCCATGATTGAACCTGGCCAGCCGTGTGCCAGGCCTGAACCCTTGTGCTATCTTTCTGGTCTCAAGGCAGGAGGCATTAACCCCCCCAAAACTATGCTTACTGTACATAAAAAATCCCTTTGCTGTGTGTCTTTTCTTCTTTGACCTTGTTTTATGGAAATAAATAACGTGGGTTTGCAGGACCTTGTATTTCCAGGGGGACAACTTTTGCTTTCTTGAATTAACTGTAGGAATTTTTTTTTCTTTTTGGGTTACACCCGGCTTTGCACAGGGGTTACTCCTGGTTCATGCACTCAGGAATTACTCCTGGCGGTGCTCTGGGGACCATATGGGATGCTGGGAATCGAAGGCGGTGCTCTGGGGACCATATGGGATGCTGGGAATCGAACCCAGGTCAGCTGCGTGCAAGGCAAACGCCCTACCTGCTGTGCTATCGCTCCAGCCCCGACTGTGGGAAATTTTAATACCACAGGTACTAAAGGGATAGCCAGAAATTTACTTATCTCATTTTTTTTTTTTTTTTGGTCCGCAGAGCCCACCAGGAGTGATCCCTGAGTGCAGAGCCAGGAGTCAGTCCTGATCACTGCTGGGTGTGGCTCAGATAGCAAAAAAATAGGTAAAAAAAAAATAAAGTTTAAATAATGTGGTTACGATCATATTAAAGTTGATAGCATTGATACTGGGTGGCTGCACCCCACCACAGCATTAGAACGCTCCACCTTACATCACCTTACATCCTTACATCACCTCTGGTTGGAGCTTCATCTCCTCCCCTTTATGTTTGTTAATCAGTTTTGTAATCCACGGTCCAGGGTTTATCAGTTCCCTGTTGTCTATTTCCTTGTCTTGTTCTCTCTATTCCACAGTGAATGAGATCATCGGTGTTTGTCCATCTCCTCTGACTTATCTTGCTCAGTTTCTGTGGTACCCTCCAGCTCCACCCATGCTGCAGCAAATCACAGATTTCATCCTTTCTTTGCATTTTTTGGGGTATGTTTTGTCTTTGTTGGTTTTTGGCCACATCTAGGGATGCTCAGGACTTATTCCCTGCTCTGCACTGAGGAATATCTCTTGGCAGTGCTTGGGGACCACAGGGATGTGAGGGATCAAACCACCACTGACTGTGTGCAAAGCAAGAGTCCTCCATGCTGTACTTCAGTCCTGATTTTGTTCTTTCTTACTGCTACATACTATTCCATTGTGTATTTGTACCACAGTCTCTTTATTTATTTATTTATTTATTCTTAATTTTTATTAGTGAAACACCATGAGGTACAGTTGTAGACTTACAAATTTTTGTGCTTGGGTTTCAGTTATACAATGATCAAGTACCCATCCCTCCACCAGTGCCCATTCTCTACCACCAATGATCCCAGTATCCCTCCCACCCCTCCATCCCACCCATCTCACCCCACCTCTGTGGCAGGGCATTTCCTTTTGTTCTCTCTCTCTCCTTTTGGGTGCTGTGGTTTGCAAAAGAGGCGTTGAGTTGCAGTCATGTTTGGTCTGTAGTCTACTTTCAGCATGCATCTCTCATCCTGAGAGGATCCTCCCAACACTCATTACTTGGTGCTTCCTTCCCTATCTGAGCTGCCTTTTCCCCTAGCATGTGTGGCTGGCCTCCAAGCCATGGAGTGAACCTCCTGGTACTTACCTCATCTTGGCTATTCTTGGGTGTTAGTTTACTATTTTGTTACTTTATATTCCCCAGAAGAATGCAATCTTTCTATGTCTGTCCCTGTCTTTCTGACTCATTTCACTTAGCATGATACTTTCCATGTAGTACCACTTGTATGTAAATTTCATGACTTCATCTTTTCTAATAGCTGCATAATACTACATTGTGTAGGTGTACCAAAGTTTCTGTAACCAGTCATCTGTTCTTGGTCACTCGGGTTTTTTTTTTTTTCCAGATTTTGGCTATTGTGAACAGTGCAGCAATGAACATAGAAGTGCAGATGTCATTTTGACTGTACTTTTTTGCCTCTCCAGGATATATTCCCAGAAGTGGTATTGCTGGGTCAAATGGGAGCTCAATTTCTAATTTTTTTTTTTTAGTTTTTTTCCCCTTTTATTTATTTATTTATTTTTTACAGTTGTAGATTTACAATTTTTTGTGCTTGGGTTTCGATTATACAATGATCAGATACCCATCCCTCCACCAGTGCCCATTTTCCACCACTATGGATAATATCCCCCCACCCCATCCCCCTATTCCCCCCTGTCTCTGTGGCAGGGCAATCCCCTGTGTTCTCTCTCTCCTTTTGGGTGTTGTGGTCTGCAAAAGAGGCATTGAGTGGCAAACATGTTCAGTCCATAGTCTACTTTCGACATGCATCTCCCCTCCTGGGAGGATCCTCCGAACATCCTTTATTTGGTGCTCCCTTCTCTATCTGAGCTGCCCTTTCCTCTAGGATACCCGGCTGGCCTCTAAGTTATGGAGTAATCCTCCTGGTGCTGATCTCAGCTATTCTTGGGTATTAATCTCATACTTTGTTACTTTATATCCCCCAGATGAATGCAATCTTTCTATGTCTATCCCTCTCTTTCTGACTCATTTCGCTTAGCATGATACTCAATTTCTAATTTTTTGAGAATTGTCCATACTGTTTTCCAAAAGGACTGAACCAGTCAGCATTCCCACCAGCAGTGAAGGAGAGTCCCTTTCTCGCCACATCCACGCCAACACCGGTTGCTTTTGTTCTTTTGGATGTGGGTCAGTCTCTGTGTACCACAGTATCTTTACTCATTCACCTGTTATTAGAAATTTGGGTTGTTTCCTTGTCCTTCCTATTGTACTAAGCACTGCGCCCCTTTATTTCTTACAATTTTTTATTTGGAGGGGAGCCACACCTGCCAGTGCTCAGGGCTGACTCCTGGCTCTGAGCTCAGGGATAACTCCTGGTGGGGCTCAGGGGACCTCCTAAGATGCCGGGGATCAAAACTGAGTCAGCTTGCACGCAAGGCAAATGCCCTCCCCATTGTACTATCACTCTAGCCCAAGATTTTAAGGTTATTTTATGAGCTCCTCAATTCTAAGCATTTTTAAATAAACAAAATTTAGGTTATAGTTAGATAATGTGTTTACAATGATGTGGATATTTATGATTTTGTTTTTCACAGCTATGTCATCTCACTGCCATCAAAGTGCACAGGAACCCCTTGTGTTTTTATTCTATAAAGATCTTTATAATCATGCTTGGTTCTGATTGCAAAATTTAATATCTTCAATTATTCATAAATTTAATTAATTTATTAATTACTCGGTTCCTTTAGTAATCATTAATAATTAAGCAATTAATTATTGAAATATTGATTATTAATGGGGAATGATTATTATTAATCACGGTCATGGTCACGGTCCTCCCGTTGTTCATCGATTTGCTCGAGCGGGCCCAGTAACGTCTCCATTGGAGACTTTGTTGTTACTGTGTCTGGCATCTCGAATACGTCACAGGGAGCTTGCCAGGCTCTGCCGTGCAGGCGAGATACTCTCGGTAGCTTGTCGGGCTCTCCGAGAGGGGCGGAGGAATCGAACTCGGGTCGGCCATGTTGGCTGCGTGCAAGGCAAACGCCCTACCGCTATGCTATCGCTCCAGCCCCTATTATTAATAATTTATTGTTAGTCCTCATTTATTTATTTATTTATTTGTTTGCTTTTGAGCCATTCTCAGTAGTTCCAGGGCTGACTTCTGGCTCTACACTCAGGGATCACTCCTGGTAGGGCCAGGGGATCATATGGGATACCAGGGATTGAATCTGGGTCAGCTGTGTGCAGGGCAAGTGCTGTCTGATGGCTCCAGCAATGACAGGCTGAACTTTGGCATTCGTCTTCTGGGTGAGGAAGCGTTTCTAGATTGGAAGGAGACTTCAGCTGCAGAACCATCAGGGTGACAGGCACTGCCAGAGCCCCATTCTCCACATCTGCCTCCATACCTGCCCTTCTAGAGGCTTCGGGCAGGTGAAGGAGTGTCGCTGGCCTTCACTTTCCCTGTCTGTGAAACAGAAGCATAAACGCACGAGGAGTAAATGAGTTGACATCTCAGCGGCTCCTGAAGGATCAGGCTGGCGTGTGCCAATTGTACTGCTGCTTATTAGGGGCTATTCCCTCTCCAGGAGAGGAAGTTGAATTTGGTCTGGACAGTCAACCTCTGGGTGCCTCCTGGGACCTTCACTGCACCCTTGGAGTCCACCCCACATGAATTTCAAGGCCCTGTTTTTCTAGAACGGGTTGGTTAAGGCGGGCTGGATCATTCATTCTCATGAATTAATATTTCTGTGGACTCAGAGAAATCACCCACTCATTCCCTGTTAAGATTTCATTTTACTGGGGCTGGAGCGATAGCACAGCGGGTAGGGCCTTTGCCTTGCACGCGGCCGTCCTGGGTTGATCCCCAGCATCTCATATGGTCCTCTGAGCACGCCAGGAGTAATTTCTAAGTGCGTGAGCCAGGAGTAACCTCTGTGTATCACCGGTGTGACCCAAAAAGAAAAAAAAATATTTCATTTTGCTAAGGATTCTTTCTTTTTCTTTTTGCAGGGGGCGCACCTAGTGGTACTCAGGGTTTACTTCTGTCTCAGTGCTCAGGTGTTAATACTCTCAGCAATGCTAGGGATTAAACCAGGCTTACCCGCATGCCAGGCAAGTGTCTTAACCTCGAGGAGATCTCTCCAGTACTTCCATATGACTCTTACAACACCCTAAGGGGAAGGCCTGGGCATAGCTTGGCAGAAAAGCTTGCAAACGTGAGGCCCCTTGAGACTGGGAGTTTTTTGTGGGTTTTTTGTTTATTCGTTTCTTTTGGGGGGGTTCTGAGCCATCGCCAGCAGTGCTCAGGGATTCCTCCTGCTCAGGAATCAGTCCTGATGGTGCTTAGAAGATCATATATGGTGCAGGGGATCGAACACATGCAACCCAAGCGCCCGACCCCACCCCACACACGGTGCCATTGATCCAGCCTCAAGACCAGGCGTTCAGTTTCCCAAGTGTGATCACGTGTGAAACCACTTATAGTCCAGCAGCATGTGCTGTGTCAGGACTCACAGCCCCCCTCTGTGAGCAGTGAGGGCCTAACTTGTCTGTCCCCGCCCCAGCCCCAGCCCCTCTGTGTTCCTAAAATTCCTCCACCTCTGTTGTCAGAGAGCCAGTATGGGAGGAGGGTGCTGGCCTTGCATGTAGTTTGATTCCTGATATTTCCAAGCGTCTGCTGAGCCCAGTCAGGAATCAGCCCTGAGCACAAGGGCCAGGAGTCAGTCCCGAGAACTGCTGGGCACGTAGCATCCAGACAAAACCCAAATAATGTAATATTCCTGTACCAAGAGTATCCCGCCCGTACAGCAGAGCCTGGCAAGCTCCCCATATTCGATATGCCAAAAACAATAACAACAAGTTTCACAATGGAGACGTTACTGGTGCCTGCTTGAGCAAATTGATGAACAACAGGAGGATAGTGCTACAGTGCCCATACATCTCACTGCAGTCCACATATGGACCTCTCCTTTCCTCTCTGGGAAGACTTTTCCTGTTCGTACTTGTACCCCTGGGTGGGCCCCAGCCTTGCTCTGCTCAGAGGGTGTGGTCAGCTGAGAGGAGACCCGTAGGGGCTACATCATAGAAACCCCACAGAGGCAAGGAAGCCTGGAACTCACCCAGCTCCCTCAGATGCTCACTTCCTGTTTGCTCGGGTCACACCTGGGGGTGCATAGGGCTCACTCCTGGCCATACTTAGGAGATTGGATACAGTGCCAGGGACCAAACCCAGGTCAGTTGCCTGTGAGGCAAGTGCCCTGCCCCAGAACCTCTCTCCTCCCCGTCAGCTCAATTCTCTTGAGAACTCCCCACCTTTTCTCCCTACCCCCTCCCCATCCTGCCCACAGACCCCAGTGAGCTCATTCTCATGCCCAGCCCTGACCTTCTTCTCCTTCCTTTGCTCAAGGCCTTCAGGATGAAGGTCACATTCCACCCAGCGCTTGGCCTGGCCCCGTCTCCCATCGACCTACATTCCCAGCCGCGTCACTGCTTCTGCTGCTTCTCCAAGGCACGCCAGGTGCTCCGACACCCTTGGGCTCCTCACCTGGTTGGTCCTCCACAGAAACGTCCTCCCTGGCCTTCTGCTCACAGCCTCCCGTGCCCAGCTCTGCCCTGCTTTTCTCTCCCTGCACCGTCACCTCAGCCCCCCAGGGCCTCACGACTCGCCTCTCTAGCTCTTTCTGCTCACAGAAGTGGGGTGGCGGCTCCTCCTTCACGATCCTCCACAGCTCCCACTGCTCGGGGCCAGAGTCCAGTCTCTCCACCTGAGACCTCTGGTGCCTGGTGCCTGCTCTGTGCCCTCACACTTCCGGGACTCCATGGTCTCCGTAAGACTCAGTTCCCTGGGCTGCAAGCAGGGTGTGATGGGAAGAGTCATTCCAGGGGGCTACAGGGGTGGGGTCAAGGCGCCTTCCTGGAGGGAAGAGAAATCCAACTGGGCTGTAAAATGGAGCTAAGAATATCTGGGTTTACCCAGATACTGGGGAGAGACTGTCCACGGTGCTTGCTTTGTGGGTAACTCACCTGGGTTTAATCCCTGGCGCTGCCTGTGGTCCCTTGAGCTCCACCAGAGTGTCACTAGGTGTGTCTCCAGACCCAAACCAGTATATATATATAATGGATCACTGTATCACTGTCATCCCATTGTTCATCGATTTCCTCGAGTGAGTGTCAGTAACGTCTGCATTCGTCCCAGCCCTGAGATTTTAGCAGCCTCTCCTTACTCGTCTTTCCCAATGATTGGAGGCTTTTTCAGGGTCAGGGGAATGAGACCTGATGTTGTTACTGTTTTTGGCATATAGAAAAATATATATATGTATATCTTCAACGATAGGTGACTTCAACTATAGATGACGAGACGAGATAGGCAGTTGTGATCTCTAGATGTGCTATGGAATCCAAACTCAGTTGTAAGAAAAGACGGAATTGTGCATTTTGCTGTGCGCGGACGACCTAGAGAGCCTGGTGTTGAGTGGCACCCGCCGGGAGAGGGATGGGCACCGAATGGGGTCCCTCATATGTGGGGTGTAAAGCTGTGATATGGCAGAGGAACAAACGGCCAAGGCAACAGAACTGAGGAGCTGGTCATCAGAACTGAGCTTACCCGGGGGGGTGGACACAGGGGAGCTCGGGAAGGACCTGTGGGACAGCAGTGGAGGGAAGCAGGCAGGCTGAGGATGTGGTGTCGGAAGGGTGCACGCATGAAGCCGTGTAGGCAGCACTGTCAGTCACGGTACCTCGGTGAACAGAGGGGGTGGGTACCCGAGCTCCAGAGAGCTGGAGTGGGAGCAAATCAAGAAGCCCCATGGCTGATCAAACCCACTATTTGGGGGCCTTTGTTTTTTCTGTTTGTTCGGGGGGCAAACTTTATGGTACTCAGGGGTTATTCCTGGCTCTTCACTCAGGAATCACTCCTGATGGGACTTGGGGGACCTGATGGGATGCTGGGGATCAAGCCTGGGTTGGTGGCATGCAAGGGAAGCAAATGCCCTGCCTGCTGTATTATCTCTCTGACGTTGCCAGAGTCCAAGTCTCTGCAGAAACCCCGTCCAGGAAAGACCAGACAGGGGCCCCGGGGTCTCTGCTGGGTGGGCGTGAAGCCCTTGTTCCTGCTCGTCTTAGGACCACACCACCGGCTTCTGTCTTTATGAAAACGCATTGACACTGCACTGCAATTTGTGTTCATTAAACCATGTTCAACAAGACCAGTGCAGTACAAGCCTCCAGAGCCCATTTGTTAGACTGGGGGGAGGGGAAGGCAAGGTCATGGTCAGAGAGGCGGACCATGGGCTGGAGAGCTGCAGAGCTGTCGGGTTGAGTAGTTGCGGATGGTTCTCTGGATCCAGGGGACGTATCTGCAGACATCAGTGTAGACGCCTGGCTTCTCCTTGGAGCCGCAGGGAACGTTGCCCCACGATACCAGGCCCCGGAGCCGGTCATCACACACCAGGGGGCCCCCAGAATCACCCTGTGGGAGGGAGAGAGGGAGTCAGAGTCAGAAGCAGACGAACATGGAGGAGAGAAGAAATAATGGGGGGAGAGAGAGGAGAGGGAGAGAGGGAGAAAGAGAGGGAGAAAGAGAGAGAGAAGGAGGGAAGGAGGGAGGCTTAAGAAGAGGAGGAAAACAAGGAAATAGAACAATGGGAGAACAAGGCCCAGAGAGGTGGAAAGAAAACACACAGAGAAAAAGTACAAAGGGTCTGGGATCCGGGGAGAGAACTGGGGTGGGGGCGGGGGAGCATTGCAGGAGGCAAGGCACAAGCTCCACAAGCCGGAAGCCCCAATTCGATCACCAGTATCACAGAGGGTCCCCTAAATTCTGTCAGGAATAATCCCTGAGCACAAAGTTAGGAGTAAGCCCTGAGCACCAGCGGGTTTGACTCAAAAGCAAGAAGGAGGATGAAGAGGAGGAAGAGGAAGGAAGTTAGAATCAGAGACAAGGTACAGGGGGTGGTGGGGGTAGGCTTTCTGGGGCTTTAAGGAAGGACAGACCCCTCCCCACTGTATGCTTCTGACTCTAGTTTCTTCTTTGGGGGGGTGGGTGGGGATGGTTTGGATCACACCTGTCAGTGCTCAGGGCTTGCTCCTGGCTCTGCACTCCTGGCAGGGCTCAGAGGACCCTATGGGATGCCGGGGACTAGGCCGTGCCTTACATCCTGTGCTCTCATCCCGGTCCCTCTCTCTAGTTCTTTATCTCCCTCCTCAAGGGTGTCTCTGGCTGCCTGTATCTGCACCCGCTTCTGTGTGTCTGAGTGTCAGCCTGACGCCCTCCCCTGCCCAGGCCTCTGACGCTCTCCTCTGCCCTGCTCATCCCTGTACAACCCAAGCAAGCTTCTCTCCCGTGCTGCTCCGGGGCTAAGTCTCACCTGGCAGGAATCCTTTCCGAGCATCTTGTCCCCAGCACACAACATGTTGTCGGTGATCTGGCCGGGGTAGGCGCGCTCGCACTCCTCATGGGGTACCAGGTGGATGTAGGCGCACTGGAGCGTGTTGGGGAAGCCGCCTGTTTGGAGGGAGACCAACGAAACCCCACCACCACCACCACCACGATAGTCTCCTGTGTCCTCATTCCCCACAGCGGTGCCCTCCTTAGTTCTCTCCTCCATTTGTTTTGGGCTCACACCCACAGTGCTCACGGGTTATTCCTGGCTCTGTGCTGGTGCAGGGGTCACTCCTAGCAATGTGGGGGGTCTATATGCTGCCAGGGAGCACAGATCGCCCATGGAATTCCCCCCAGTCTATTAGTTTCCCTCCCTGATTCCTGATTGGTCTTTCTTACCCCAACTCCCTCCCCTGGCCTGTTCCTCAAAATTCCCTCATTGCCAGCAGACCTTATTCTCCACTGATTTTTTTTTTCTTTTTGGGTCACACAGGGGTTGCTCCTGGCTCATGCACTCAGGAATTACTCCTGGCGGTGCTTGGGGGACCATATGGGATGCTGGAAATCGAACCCAGGTCGGCCGCGTGATTTTTTTTTCTCCACCCTGCTTCCATCGCCTCTTTCCTAGTTCTCACCCTTTGTTAGTTCCCGCTTTGTTGTCCTACTTCCACCACCATTGGACCTTTATTGTCCATTGACTCACCCTGATTGGTCACTCTCTTTTATGATTGGCTCCTCAGTTAGTGGTCTACTTCTCTGATTGGTCCTTTCCTGATGGTCCCTCCCTTCTCCCCCAATGGTTCTCCCTATTGACTCCTCCACATAGAGACTATATCTTTGGGTCTGTCCCAGGCCCACCTTCTGCGGGTCCTACTGATCCATCAGGCTTGTTTCTTCCACTTCCTTCCTCTAGTGGCTCCGCTTAACCATGAACTCTTTCCCAATTGGTCCCTCTTGCATTCTCTCTCGCTCTCTACTCCATTCTTTTTTGTTTTATTTTGAGGCCACACTCAAAAACCAAATGCTCAAGTTTACTCCTGGCTCTACATTCAAGGGTCACTCCTGGCGGGCTTGGAGGACTAAACGGGATGGTGGGGATTGAACCTGGGTTGGTTGCATGCAAGACAAGAACCCTGCCTGCTGTACTATCTCTCGGCCGCCCTCTATTCTGTTCTTAATGCAAAATTTCCACTGTCTCTCCAGCTTTATCGGTCTCTCTTCTTCCATGAGTACTTTCTTTGCTCTCATCAGCATCCTGACCCCACCCCTTTGACACCTGACTTCTCTCTGATTAGCATCACCCTTCCCTCCTCATTGCCCCTTGACCTGTGACCTTTCTCTCTTTGCCTTCCGTCCATTGCTTTCTTTAGCCATTGGACATTCACTCCTCGGTCCAACTCCCGTATCTGCCCTTCATTTCCAATAACATCGCACAATCAGTAACCACTAATGCACATCCCATTACCCAGAACCACCCCTCCACAGCCCACTGCGGGGTCCTCCCGTCACTGACCATCTGCTGTTTTGCCCCAGCCGACTATGTGGCAGCTGGCATGGCGGGCAGAGCAGTTCTTCTCTAGGAGCAAGGGCTGGATGTGCTGGGAGAGGCGGGCGGGGTGTGCCAGACGCAGCAGCATGATGTCCTGGTCGTGGGTGGCAGCGTTGTAGTGGGGATGGGCCACCATCTGGGCGACGGGGCTCTGCTCCTGGGACTCCTCCTGCTGCAGGAGGTCGTGCTTCCCCAGGTAAACCTGAAGGTTCCTGAGGAGGAGGAGGAGGGTTGGGTCTTACCAACCGGGGGCCACCTTTGAGGCGCTAACTGTCCCCGTGGCCAGGGCACAGTAGCCTAGGGTCCTATGAACCCTCTAGCCTGCTAACCTCACGGGCATCCTTGCTCAGGTTCCCAACTCCAGCCTTTCAGAATAATCACAGAGATATTCTTCTGGTTTTGTTTGATTTGGGGGTCACACCCGGCAGTGTTCAGGGCTTACTCCTGGCTCTGTGGTCAGGGATCACTGCTGGCAGGGCTCAGGGGACCATATACGCTTCTCAGGGATTGAACCTGGGTCAGCCTCCTACAAGGCAGGCGCTTAACCCCTGTTCTATCTCTCTGGCTCATTGGAGACTATTCTTGGCTATTTTTATTGGTTTGGCAAGTCTTGGGTTCTGGCAGTGCTCAGGGACTATTCCTGGCTCTGTGCTCAGCAGTGACGCCCAGTGGCGCTCAGAGGACCATACACAGTGCCAGGGATTTGAACTAGGGCCATCAGAATGCAAGACAAGCACCTTAACCCTTATTCTATTTCCCCAGCCTATATCCGCCGCCCCCCCCCCCCCCCCCCACTCACCTTTCTTTCTTTCCTTTTTGATGTTAGGGCCACATCCAACAGAGCTCAGGGGTTACTCCTGGCTCTGTGCTAAGGGATCACTGCTGATGGGGCTTCAGGGAACAGATAGAGTGGGGGAGATCAAACCTGGGTCGGCCATGTGCAGGGCACATGCCCTCCCTGCCATCCTATCACTCCGAACTTCCACCTCCTCTTCCCAACTGTCTGATGCTTTATGGGTTCGGGAATTCCTTGGACTCTGTAGTCTACTTGGAATCTACCCTCACTGCTCCTGGGGGTCTGAGCCCCACCTTCTCTTACCCGAACTGCAGTTGTAGCCCCTCCCCAGATTCTCTGAATGGGCCTTTGCCCCTTTCGTCTAGAGACACCATCACAGTGGGAGCTGGTCCTTTCCATCTGCTGCTCAGTCACTGAGTCTAGACCACAGTGCTCACCAGGACCCATAGGTTCTATGCCATCTGTTCCCATCACCTTTCAGACATCAGCCCCCTCCCTCAGCTGGGACATGTCACACTCCTTACACCCTAGGTCTGCCTGGTCCCTTGCTAGTGACTCTTTTCTCCTGATATCTGCAAGGTTCACTCCCTCACTCTCTTTCAGTGTCACCTTCTCTGTGATCCCTCCCTGGAAACCCAGATAACTTACAAATATCGGGCCAGACAGTATGAGGGTTCAGGCACTTGCCTTGCACATAACTCACCTGTTTCAATTCCGGCCCCCATGAATACCCTGAGTACAGAGCCAGGAGGAAGTCCTGGGTACCACGGGGTGTGTCCCTAAGCCCCAAATCAAAGATCAATAAAATGCAAGCATCTCCTCCACCAGACGTTCCTATCTTCTCTTCCTTAGCCCATCTTCTGGCATATCCTGTGCGTATTGTTAGCTATTTCCTGTTTTCCTGTCTCTCCTCCACAGTGCGCTGGCCAGTGAAATTCCCTGCGATCATGGGAATATTCTCTCTCCACTGCCTGAGGCTGCTGCCGCATGCCACCATGTCTGGGATGTGACAGGCCTTCAGTAAGTAAATATTCATGAAATGGGCCAGAGGAAGCCCAAGATCCCAGACCCCACTTCTGCCTGCCTGGGAGAGGGTTCCTTCCTTTCCCTGCTGCAGGGCTGCCCACCCCGCCTCCCAGGGGTGTGTCTGGCCCTTCCCTCTTCCCAGGCTCCATCTCACTGGCCCCCCTACCCCCCACCCCCGCCCCAGCTGGGCTTGTCTTAGAACCTGCTTCCTGGGCAGGTGACTGACTCCCCCCACAGGCCCTTGGGCAGGCTCTGCCTGATAGAGGCTCGCATTCACCACCCTTCCCCACTGCCTGGGCCCCTGAGCACCACTGGGAGTGAACCTTGAGTTCTGGGTGGGGAGTAGCCCCAGAGCACTGCTGAGTGTGATCCGGAAACAAAACCACAAAGGAGAAGGTTCTCAAGCAGGCCTCTCCAAGCAGGCCTCTCTCTTCCCTGCTCGCCCAGAACGTCCCTCTGCTTTCCCTTGGCAGTTTGTGAAATAGTTAACTCCTCCACCCTCCTGCTCCCCGTGCAAATCCTGCCAACCCCCTATCCAGCACAGGCCGGGCACTTAGCGGGCACTGGGGACCCAAGTCCACCAGCCAACACAAGGCACTGGTGTTAGCTCTGGGGCCTGGGCGGGGAGGGAGGAGAGTCCTGGGGCTGTCAGTGTCCCTGCGCAGGGACACCCCCACATGGCTGCAGAACCTGTTTCCTTCCAAACACCTGGGGACATTTGTGTGTGTGTTTGGTGTTGGACATTGAGTCCAGGACCTTAAATAGCCAGGCCAAGCCCCCCCCCCCCCGCTCGACCCCCAATCGGAAGGGTTCGACCTCCTGGCTCCACCCCCTCAGCCCACCTGCCTTTGGTTTCTGCTGTTTTGACCACACGCCCTTCAGGGCTGGGCACTGCTCTGGGTTAATGCTCTGGGGTCACTCCTGGCAGTGCTCCGGAGACCATGAGCTAACTAACGGGCGAGAAGAGGGGCTCTCCCATGCCACGTGGACACTATAGCCCCCCTGCGCCACTCACCACCCCTCCCAACCTTTCCTTCCTCATCTGCAAAATGGGCCTAAGAGTCCCTGGTGGTGGATGCAGGTCTCCTGCCCATGGTCAGTGCTGGGCACAGTGGGGGCGGTTTGCTGATCCTGTCCGCTCCTGTCTCTCTGTCTATCCTTCCAACGATCTCATCCTGGGCCTTCCTCTTGTCACTGCAGAATGTTCACCTCTGATCTCCCCTGAGTGCCACCGCTGCCCCCTCCCCTGTCCTCCTTGGACACCCCCTCTCATCACAAACTCACTTGGAGCCAAGACCTCAGCTGCGTCTCTACGCGTCTCCGAGCTGCCTGTCCCCGACTCAGAGAAAGACGTGGGGCGATCCCCGGGTCATACAAGGAGCTGAGCAGCACCCCATCCTCGCCCTGGCCCCCCTGCCTGAATCCCGAGGCCCCAACCCTTTGCCAAGCTCTGGACACAAATCCATGAGGGTTCGCAGAATGACTCAAGGCTGAAGAGTATCGGGCTGAGGCGACTCGGGTCCACAAGGGGTGGCTCTGACAGCCCCGTGGGCTAGAGCCGCGAGGCCTGAATTGTGGAGGCCCCCAGCCCCGGTCACGCTTCCCAGGGCCTTCGCATACCATCTCCTGCCAGACCCTGCTTGAACCAGCCCCCAACAGGGCCTCCCAGGGGTGGCTTTGCTGAGTCCCATCACCTTTCTCCGGAAAGGCCCAAACAGCGCCCGGCACACTCAGCTCCCAGGGAAGCCTGGACGACCGGACTCCCGCAGAGGAGAGCAGTGCCCACGTCACCTCGCCCCATCCCTGACTGCCGCGGGCGTGGGCACTCACGGTTTCTTGCAGTGGGCAGCGGTGAGGACCCAGTGTGGGTGGACGAGGACCCCCCCGCAGAGCAGGCGGCCTGCGGTGTAGATGGCGGCCTGGTAGGGGTGCGACATCAGCTCGCAGGGTCCCCCATACAGCACCTTGTCCTGGAGCTGCGCCAGGGCTGGGGAGAGGGAGGCATTAGAAAGCAGGTCTGGAGACCCCTCCCACCTCCCCGAGGTGACCCCCAACCCACCTCAGTCACGGGGATCTTCTCCCCCCACCCCTGCCCCAAAGCCAGTCTCTGCAGCCGGGGGGAGGCTCCAGGGCTTTAGACTTTCTAGCTCCCATCTGCCCCCCCAGGCCTCCCAGCCCCCCCAGAACCTCCCACAGACCCCACAGCCAAACCCACCCCCCTCGTCTGCTCATCTGCCTGTGACCCCCGCCCTGCCCCCTCCACCCGCTGCCCCTGCCCCCACCCCCGCCATGTCAGGCCCTTCACCCACCTGCCGTGCCCAGCGCCAGAACCAGGATCAGTGTCTTCATGCCGGACCTGAGGGACACTCCAGGTCAGCACTGCCCGCGGTCCCTCCCCTTGACTCTGTCCTTTGTCCTGCTGCGAGTCTGTCCCTGCCAGGTCCCTGGAAGGCTGGTGCCTCCTGGTGCCACTCTCGGGGCCTCTGCCCTATGCCCTGTGCTGACCTTCACCGACAGCTGTGAGCTAGGCCCACCAGGCCCTCAGCACCGCGGCCCTGCAGCACGGCTGGGGAGGGTGGGGTGGGGGGAGCTTACCTGCACACCCCCTGCCCAGCTGCACAGGGTCCTGGGTGAGTGAGGCGGGACAGCAGGGGACACAGGCAGAGGCAGAGGCGGAATGCTTGGGTGCCCCCTCCTAGGTGCGGGGGGCTCCTGGGGATGAGGGTGTCCTGGGACCCAGGGTCAGGATGCTGGGCTCGGGGCTTGCAGAACTCACACCTCCGGAAGAGGCTGGCCCATCTGCAGGTGCTCCTGGGCCTCCTTTTAACCCCTGCCTCCCCAAAGCCGCACCTTTCCCAGCAAGGCCTCCCACACACATTCCTCCGCTCTCCACTGGGCCATGACCCCTGACCCCGCTTCTGGGCAGAGAGGGAGGGGTGGAGGGCTCTGGACCCCTGGATGTGAGGGGGAGAGTCGGGTGGCCTCCAGAGCACGAGACTGGAGCACAGGGAGGGCAGGAAAAGCCCCTGGCCAACTCCTGAGCGATGTCTGAGTCCAGCCCCCCGGGCCAGCCCCTGCCCCCCCGCCCCCGTGACCCCCTGCCCGCTGCGGACACGGGCACCCCCGCCCTGCACCCTTGCCCTGGGAACGGGTTCAGTGGGGCCGGGTGAGTCACACACCTGGGCAAGTCCTTCGGTGGTGCCTGGCAGTGGCCCTCCAGCTGGCGTGTGTCACCCGCGGGTCCCCACCCCTGCCCCGGGAGAGGGGAGGAACAATGGTGCTCTGTCCAGCAGGCGCCTGCAGCTCCCGTCCCGGCCTCCGTGGCCAGTGGGCGGCCCTGGCTGCGTCAACAGCTGGGCCTTGTCCGCGCTGACGCCAGGACCCTGCTGGCCCAGCCTGCACCCACCTCTACCCGGGTCCCCCCTGCGGCCTGACCCTGCTGGCCCGTCCCTGGCTCCACACTGGCATCTCCATGTGCTCCGTTTCCCTGTCTGCCTCCCCTCTCGCCTCTCTCTGCAGGCTGGCTCCTTCCTTCCTTCCTTCCTTCCTTCCTTCCTTCCTTCCTTCCTTCCTTCCTTCTCTTTTCTTTCTCCTCTTTCTTTTTTCTTTTTTTCTTTTTCTCTTTTCTTTCTTTGATTTTATAAGTTTATTAAGTCATCACTTTAGTTACATTCAATATTCCAACATCTTTTTCTTTCACTTTCTCCCTAATTTTATTTCTTTTCCTCTTTCTTTCTTTCTTTCTTTCTTTCTTTCTTTCTTTCTTTCTTTCTTTCTTTCTTCCTTCCTTCCTTCCTTCTTTCCTTCCTTCCTTTCTTTTTTCTTTCTCCTTCCTTCCTTCCTTCCTTCCTTCCTTCCTTCCTTCCTTCCTTCCTTCCTTCCATCCTTCCCTCCTTTCCTACATGGCAGCACTTGGGCCCCCCCCCCACCCGAGGGTGACTCCTGCTGGGGGGTGTGGAGTGCTGGAGTGGGGCTGAGGTCCTCACCATGCTGGGCTGTGCAGCCCCTCAAGACCGAGTCCAGCCTGCCGTTCATTTGCCCATCTCTAGCCGTCTGGCTTCCTCGATGTTTGGGCTGCTCTCTTCATTCCATCTCCCTCGGCCCTCCCCACACTCAACTTTCCAGAGAAGCCAGTGAGGGTGCACGAGACTGCAGCCCCCAGGGAAGGGCTGAGTGTGGGAGTGGTGGGAGGCTGAGGGGCTCTTGGGGTGCTGATGAGGTTCTGTGAGGGAGATGCAGGGGACATGCAGGAAGGTCTCGAGCGGGGTGGGTGTGACGCGACGCGCAGCAGGGTTGGGAGCCGGAGGAGGCCCGGAGGGTTGGGGGTCTTTAAATGTGGGTTGGCCGGGAAGAGAGAGGAGGGGTGGAAAGGTTTGGCATGTGTGTTGGTGAGGGTGGACTTTGCATGTGCGTTGGCGGGTGGGGGGGGGGCGGTGTTGGGCATATGTGACCCAGTGCGAAGGACACAGGGACCAGCAGACGTGGGGCGCAAGGAGAAACCAGGGTCCGGGGGTGTGACTGGGTCACCAGGACAATGGACAGTTAGGAATGTGCACCTGGGCATCTTCTCAGCCCCTAAACCACATTTTTCTTTTCTTTTTGGATGACACCTGGTGGTTCTCAGAACTCTGTACTCAGGAATCACGTCTGGCCATGCTCAGGGGACTGGATGAGGTACCAGGGATTGAACTGAAGTCGGTGACTTACAAAGCAGGCACCTCACCTCCTGTCATCTCTTGGGCTCCTTAAGGGCAATTTTTTGGGATTTTTTTTTCACCTGGCAGTGCTAAAGGTACTCCTGGCTCTGTGCTCGGGTCATTCTGGGTAGGGCTCAGGGGAACCATGCGGTGCTGGAGATCCTGCATGCAGACCACACTCCTGGCTGTCTTCCCAGCCCTCATGTGGCTTTTATATGTTTAGAATGTCCCGGTTAGGGGCCGCCGAGCCTCACAAGTCAGAGGCAACTGTAGTCAGCAGTGGCCATGCTGCGTGGCTGAGGGAGGGTGTTGGGTCACATCTGGCGATGCTCGGGCCTGACTCCTGGCTCTGTGCTCAGAATCACTCCTGGTGGTGCTCGGGGGACCCTATGGGATGCCAAGGATCAAACCCGGGTTGGCCGCGTGCAAGGGAAGTGTACTATGACTCTACTATTCGCTGTGCTATCACTCCCATCCTTGCCCACTTGTGTGCTCTGACACAGATTGGATTGGTGTGTCCCCCATGGCAGGCAGGTCCAGTCCTTGTCGCTGTGGGTCAGCTCAGGTCTTCCTGTTCCCTCTTCTCCAAGTGCTCTTCTTGCAACAACTTGTCCTGCAGGTCTTTGCTTAGCCATCACCTCCTCCAGGAAGCCTTCCCAGAACACCACCCTCCAGTTGGTTTAGTCACTCTCTCAGCTGAGTTCCCACAGTGGGCACCTCCCTTGAGTCCCATATCATGACCATCTGGATGGTCTTCTCTGTCGGGCCCGGGGCTTACTCACCCCTGTGTCCTAAGCATTCCCATAGGACCTGACCTAGAAGCAGCCTACAGAAATGTTGACAGGGTGACTTCATCACACCCACTCCCGTAGCACTGATAAGAAAATCGAGGTGCAGGAAGAGGAATTGACAGCTCACTGTCGGGAAATGGTGTGTGGGAACGCAGCCTCATACAGAGGCCAGCACATGCTCAGCCAGTTGGGGGGGGGGCAGTGGAAGAGGGGCTGGAGAGAGGGTCCCAGGGCTGCAGCCAAGCGGTGGAACACTTGTCCCACACTTGGAAAGCCCTGGGCTCTCTGCGCTCCAACAACAAAAACAAAAACAACAATTTCACTCACTGTCCCCTACAAAGATCTAATGGGGACCAGAGAGATGGTACAGCAGGTAAAGCAATTGCCTTGCACCGCATGGGGTCCCTGAGCAATGTGGTCCAGGGGTGACCACTGGGGATGGTCCCGAAAAAAGACAAACCAAAATCAAATTCAAGAGGGGGAGGAGAGGGAAAAGAGAGAGGAAGAGAGAAGAGTAAGTGGAGAGAGAAGGAGAGGGAAAGAGTAGGGAAGGAGAGGGAGAGAGAATCCTCTCTTCCGGCTGGTGTTTGCTGGTGTCCCCATGGGTTCTGCCTTGTAGTCTTCCTCCAAACTCCTGTGCTCTGCAAGTCTTCCATAAAGGTACTGTTTCATAACAAAACTAAGCGAGCAGAAGCAGAGGGAAGCAGCAGAAACCACAAGTAATAGCTGGCCATCCGCAGCGTATTCTGTCTGACGTTTTAACCCTTTCTGAGTAGAGCCAGCCTGGGAAAAGGGCATGCATCCTCCCTCCTCTCGCTTGCTCCAGCGCTGACAGAGACCGTTGGGGGACATTCCTAGGCTGAAAAGCAGACAGCTTGGGAGGTATCAGAAGCGGGACTGGAGCCCAGAGTCCAGCTTCCAGAGGCCACACACTGAACTACAAAGCAAGATGGAAACAGTAAAGAGGAAAAAATAAAAGACCAACAGGTCACCCGGATGCCATCTCAGGTGCAGTGAGAGCTGGGGTACTCTGGAGAACCCTTCATTGCAGCCTGAGTGCTAGGAGTTGAGTTGTGAACTGAGCGTTGAAAGGAGGTAATGGGGTATGCATGATAACCTTTCAGTATCTGTATTGCAAACCACAATGCTCAAAAGGGGAGAGGAGAGGGATTGAGAGAGAGAAGAAAAGTGTCTGCCACATAGTGGTGGGGTGGGGGGGAGGAGGGAAACAGGGGACAATTGGTGGCGAGAAATGTCCACCGGTGAAAGGACAGATGCTGGAGCATTGTATGACTGAAACTGGGTCATGAACAACTTTGTGACTGTGTACTTCACAGCAATTCAATTTAAAAAATAAATTAGGGGGGCTGGAGTGATAGCACAGCGGGTAGGGCGTTTGCCTTGCATGCGGCCAACCCAGTTTGATTCCCAGCATCCCAAATGGTTCCCCGAGCACCGCCAGGAGTAATTCCTGAGTGCATGAGCCAGGAGTAACCCCTGAGCATTGCCGGGTGTGACCCAAATAACAAAATAAATAAATAAATTAGGGCCAGAGCGGCGGTTAGGGCGTTTGCCTTGTAAGTGGTCGACCCCCAGCATCCCATATGGTCCCCCGAGCATCATCAGGAGTAATTCCTGAATGCCAGAAGTAACCCCTGAGCATCGCTGGGTGTGACCCAAAAAGCTAAAAAAATAATAATAATTTCAAAATATTTAAATTTTTTTTTAAAGAAAGAGACAAGTTGAGGGACCTTCATGGACGGAATTAGGTGGGCAAAACTCCTCCACCTTGACCCTGATTCACAGGCTGGTGTGTGTGTGTGTGTATGTGTGGTGTGAGGACCCAGATCTTGTGTTTTCTGGGACAAAGACATGTTTGCTGAACTTCCAGCATGCAGGAACCATCTGGGTGCATGAATGGGAACAGAGCAGGAGGGAGCCTGGGGGGCAGAGGAGGGCCTGGGAGAGAAGGCCCAGGAGGAGGCTGGTCTGGAGGGAATTCTGGGGGATGCTGGAAAAACAGGTGGGGAAGGGGGTGAGTCTGAGCTGCAGAAGGTCCCTGTCAGCAGCATCTAAGGCGTGACAGCCTGAGCATGGGCCAGTAGGAACAAGCTGGCTGAGTCAGGGCCCTGGCCGCCCCCCCCCCCTGTCTAGTCCCCACTCCTCCCCTTCCTCCTCTTCCTGTCCCGTGGGGATGTGTGTGGGGGACACCCAGTGATGCTCAAGGCTTACCTGGCTCTGCACTCAGGAATCACTCCTGGTGCTCTGGGACCGGATGGGGTGCTGGGCATCAAACCCAGGTCGGCCGTGGACAAGGCAAATGCCCTCCCTGCTATATTATCACTAGGGCCCCTACCCCAAACGTTTATCATACCTTATTTGAGATCAGGAGCCACCCAAGTTTCACACTGTGTTCCGCTGACCATCAGATGTGGGAAGCTCTTTTAGCTCTTTCTTCCTTCCTTTCTTTTTTTGAAAGTTCATCCAAGCCCTGGGGGACCCAGTTGCCTGCTTCTTTCTGGAGTCTTTTCCCTCTGTCCTAAAGGGTGGCCTCCCTGTCCAGTCCGGTCAGCATACACCTTTTCCCCTGCCCCCTTCCTCTCTCCTTTGCTTCTCTCTTCCATTTTACAGAGCAGGAAAACTGAGAACTGGAGAAATGGTGGGAAAATTGACACTGGGCAGGGACCTGGGGCAATGTCTCAACAATGTCCAAGAGGACAGAGGAGAGACAGCGGGGAGGGCGCAGGTCTTCCACGCTGTCACCCAGGTTCCATCTCTGGTACCACATAGGGTCCCCTGAGTCCCATCAGAAGGGATCCCTAAGTATAGAGCCAGGAGAAAGTCCTGAGCACAGCCAAGTGTGACCACCAAACACAGCAAAGTCAGTGTCCCATAGATACATATTTCTGGGTTCTGTCCCCTCCAAAGGAGTCTCTGGGTGGAGCTGGCCATGCTGTCCCAGAGGTCACACCCTGGTCACCCACAAGCAAACACGCAGTAGCTCTTTGAGCTGCCTTCCTGGCCCCAGTGGGTGCTTGGTCCCTCTCCTTATTTCTCCCTCTCTCCTCCGCCCTTCCCTACTTCCTGTCCTTCCTTCTTTCTTCCCTTCCTTCCTTCTTCCCTTCCTTCCTTCTTCCCTCCCTCCCTCCCTCCCTTCCTTCCTTCCTTCCTTCCTTCCTTCCTTCCTTCCTTCCTTCCTTCCTTCCTCCCTCCCTTCTGTCCCTCCCTCCCTCCCTTTCCTCCCTTCTGTCTCTTCCTTCCTTCCTTCCTTCCTTCCTTCCTTCCTTCCTTCCTTCCTTCCTTCCTTCCTTCTTCCCTTCCTTCCTTCTTCCCTTCCTCCCTCCCTCCCTCCCTTCCTTCCTTCCTTCCTTCCTTCCTTCCTTCCTTCCTTTCTTCCTTCCTTCCTCCCTCCCTTCTGTCCCTCCCTCCCTCCCTTTCCTCCCTTCTGTTCCTTCCTTCCTTCCTTCCTTCCTTCCTTCCTTCCTTCCTTCCTTCCTTCCTTCCTTCTTTCCTTCCTCCCTCCCTCCCTCCTTCCCTCCCTCCCTCCCTCCCTTCCTTCTCTTCTTTCCTTCCTCCTTTGCCACACCTAGTGATGCTCGGGAGCTACTCCTAGCTCGTGCTCAGGGACAGAATCCTGTGTTGCTCTGGGAACCATGTGGTGCTTGGGATCAACCAGGGGCCTCCAGCACACAGAGAAAGTATGTTGAAGGCTCCTTCTCTTGAGGGTGTTTTCTCCCCAACCTTAGATCTTCAAGAGCTTATTCTTTACCCTTATTGCTCAGCTTATAAAAGTCCATTTCCCCAGAAAATTAAATGGAAGAATTCTATCATGTTCCTTCAGATTTTATTATGTGACTATTTCAATTGGACATTGCAGGGGTTACATACATTTTTTTTTTGCTTTTAACATCAGATAAAATAAATTTGTGCTTAGTATAGCAGTTCTACATGATTATTATCCTTAACAGCTTCCTAATATCCCACCCCAAGCCAGCCTTTTCTTAAACAATCCACAAAATTAGAAAATTGGAATATGCTCAGGTTTCTTTTTGATAAATAATGTTGCTATGAATTCAAGTAACATTTGAATTGCTCCACTTTTTAGATTGATTTTTGAAAAATAAAAAGTTTCTTTCTAGAATTATTAGAATTCAAATGAGAATTCACAGCAGCCAAAATGCCTTCCGTAACAATTGCACTGATTTCTGGTCCAGGCAAGGGTACTGGCCTGGGCTGAGGGTGCTGGTCCGGGCTGAGGGTGCTGGCCTGGGTTGAGGGTTCTGGCCCGTTTCCTGCCAGCCTGAGGCGGCTCTGAGGAGAGTTTTGGTCGTTGTCACTTTGCTTTGTTTCCACATGTTTCCACACACGGCATGTTGTTGAGGCTTTAAGGACAGGAAAAGTCAAGTACGACTCCAGCTCATTCCTGCTTCTGTGACTTTTCTGTTCCAGCCCAGAGATGGAGCACTAGCGATGCTTCCTCATGGTCTCCTTTATCCAGTTGACATATTTGCAGACCTGGGTGTAGACTCCTGGGTCATTGGGTTGGCCACAAGGGAAAGTTCCCCAGGATACCAGGCCTTGCAGGCTACCTCTGCACATCAGGGGTCCCCCAGAATCACCCTGCAGGGGAGCAAAGCAGATTAGTTTTGGCTACAGAATGAAGTGATTGGCCTGGCCCCCATCTCCACCATCCACACCTCACCCACCCACTCCCCACCCCTCATACCACATACACACACACACACACACACACACACACACACACACACACACACAGAGTTAATAGTTGTCTTGCCAAACCACAGATTTCTACCTTGGCCAATGGGAAGAGATTCACGATCATAGGGATCAATTAGAGACCTGAGACGTAGACCTCTCCAACATTGGCTTGAGCCCAGACTAATACAGCCAATCATGGGGGAGCGGAAGGACCTCTGCTTGGGGAGAACCCATTATTTACCCCATCCCCCACCCCTGAAGCTCTGAGGGCTTATTGCAAAACTGATAATTCAATCGCCAGGAATGAACAAATATCAGATTTTTCAATAAAGAGCACTCACTTCAGGCTCCGATAAGATTCAGCAAGGAGAGGCCAGTCGGCAGGGCACATGCCTAGCACACGGCTGAACTGGGTTCAATTCCTGGCATCCCTATGGTCCTCCCTGAGCACGGCTGGGCATAACCCAAAATTCAAAAGAAAAAAACTCAGCCAGGGGCGAGAGTGATCGCACAGGGGTGAAGGCACCTCCTGGGGTAGACCCCCGCACCACCATGGTCCCCTGGCCACCATCAGGAGTGACCTGAGCAGAGAGTCACAAACAGCCCCTGTGCACAGACAGATGTGGCTCCAGAACAAACGAAATTTCACACACTAGGGGCTGGAGCCATAGCACAGTGGCTTGCATGTGGTCGACCCAGGTTTGATTCCCAGCATCCCATATAGTCCCCCCCAAGCACCGCCAGGAGTAATTCCTGAGTGCAAGTGCCAGAAGCAACCCCTGAGCATTGCTGGATATGACCCAAAAAGCAAAAAAAAAATAAAAAATAAAAAATAATTTTTTTTTTTTGCACATCACTGCCCTGGACCTGCCTTTATCTGAGCCTATTTTGTTCATCTTTTTGGCGGATTAGGAAAATATTGTCTTAGAATATGATCGACCTTGGTCAGTGAGGCTTTCCTGAGCCTCTGAGTTCTGCCTTTCCTAGTTCCTGTCAGCCCCCTCCCCCATTCAGATCTCTATCCTACCCCCAGAAACACTCCTGGCTCCTCTGACAGGAGAGTGGGACAGAGAAAGTCAGGAAGAAAGTGGTGCTGGGACAGGGACAGAGGCTCAGCCTCGGGGGTCACCTTCACTCCTTGACACTGCAGGGTTCCCCCCAGTGGTCCAGAGTGACCTGCACCTGAGCCACACACCAGGTGTTTGCACCCCATCCTCTGTTAAGTATGGCTCCTAGCCCCCTAAAACCCTCCTATAAAATCAAAACCCAGCACAACACAAGGTTGGAGGGGAAGTACCGGTGCTCACCTCTGGGTGCTCATCTCCCTCCCTGGCGACTCTCCCAGATATGCCAGAAGTATTTGTGAGCTCACCTGAGCACCAACCCCACCCCACTGCCCCCACAAAACAAAGCAGATAGAGGAGATGCAAGATTCAAGCACTTGTGTGGCAAGACCAGTGACATCTGTGGGTGATGACGGGGAAAATCCTTTCCCTTCCTTCCCCCTGTGATAGCAGAGAAAGGTTTGACTTGGAAAGTCAGTAAGAATCAGTGAGTGAGTTCAAGGGAGGAAAGGAAGGAGAGAGAACTGAAGGAAGGAGGTAAGGAAGGAATAGAGGAAGGAGGGAGGATGGAAGGAGTGGAAGGAGGGAGGGAAGAAGGAAAGAAAGGAGGGAAAGAGGAAGGAGAGGAAGGAGGGAGGAGGAAGGAGAGGAAGGAGGGAGGGAAGGAAGGAAGGAGGGAAGGAAGGAAGGAAGGAAGGAAAGAAAGAAGGAAGGAAGGAAGGGAGGGAGGGGAGGGAAGGGAAGGAGGGAAGGGGCTTGGGCAGGAGCGGGCGCTCACGTTGCAGGCATTGGTCCTGGAGTTGGGGATGCCAGCGCACAGCATGGAGCTGCCCAGCAGGTCCTTGTACACCTTCTTGCAGTCCTGGGAGGAGATGAGCTTGACATTCGTGCACATGAGCTGCTTGGGGAAGGTCACTGAGAGACAGACAGGGGCGTCAGAGGGTAGGTCCTCCAGGAGGAGGGTCCACCCCAGGGGCCGCGGGGGTGGTTGGGCTCACCATCAGGGCTGGTGGTGGTGCCCCAGCCAGAGACCTGGCAGCTGGTCCCTGGGGGCTCACAGCGGGATGACAGGTTGACAGTCTTCAACTGGGCTGACATTCGTGCTGGCCGGTCCAGCCTGACCAGCATGAGGTCGTTGGCGTGGGTCTGTGTGTTGTAGTCGGGGTGGCGGAAGGACTTAGAGGCCTTGATCTTCTGACCGCCTTCACTCAGGGAGTCGCTGCCCATGTGAACCACGTACTCGCTGGGGGAAGAGCGGCCTCAGTCAGAGGGAACGGAAGGGGACAGAGGAGGACAGACAGGGGGACAGGGATAGGGTAAGGGGAACAGAGACCCAGAGAGAGGGACAGAGACCCAGAGAGGGGGACAGAGACCCAGAGAGAGGGACAGAGACCCAGAGAGGGGGACAGAGACCCAGAGAGAGGGACAGAGACCCAGAGAGGGGGACAGAGACCCAGAGAGGGGGACAGAGACCCAGAGAGAGGGACAGAGACCCAGAGAGGGGGACAGAGACCCAGAGAGGGGGACAGAGACCCAGAGAGGGGGACAGAGACCCAGAGAGAGGGACAGAGACCCAGAGAGGGGGACAGAGACCCAGAGAGGGGGACAGAGACCCAGAGAGAGGGACAGAGACCCAGAGAGGGGGACAGAGACCCAGAGAGGGGGACAGAGACCCAGAGAGAGGGACAGAGACCCAGAGAGGGGGACAGAGACCCAGAGAGGGGGACAGAGACCCAGAGAGAGGGACAGAGACCCAGAGAGGGGGACAGAGACCCAGAGAGGGGGACAGAGACCCAGAGAGGGGGACAGAGACCCAGAGAGAGGGACAGAGACCCAGAGAGGGGGACAGAGACCCAGAGAGGGGGACAGAGACCCAGAGAGAGGGACAGAGACCCAGAGAGGGGGACAGAGACCCAGAGAGGGGGACAGAGACCCAGAGAGAGGGACAGAGACCCAGAGAGGGGGACAGAGACCCAGAGAGGGGGACAGAGACCCAGAGAGAGGGACAGAGACCCAGAGAGGGGGACAGAGACCCAGAGAGGGGGACAGAGACCCAGAGAGAGGGACAGAGACCCAGAGAGGGGGACAGAGACCCAGAGAGGGGGACAGAGACCCAGAGAGGGGGACAGAGACCCAGAGAGAGGGACAGAGACCCAGAGAGGGGGACAGAGACCCAGAGAGGGGGACAGAGACCCAGAGAGAGGGACAGAGACCCAGAGAGGGGGACAGAGACCCAGAGAGGGGGACAGAGTGTGGCAGGGGCAGGTGACAGCGCGTGGGGACGTGCCTCATCTTGCAGTGTGCAGCTGTGATCACCCAGCGGGGGCTGAGTAGGGCCCCCCCGCAGTGCAGACTGTTCCCCTTGAGCAGCGCCACCTGCCAGGGGTTGGAGCCTTTCTTGCAGGGAACGCCATCGATGATCCTGTCTCCACTCTTGTTACCATCGTCTGAGAGAGACATGGAGAAGAAACGTGGGTGTCAGAATCGGGGACACAGATGCAGGACAGAGCCTGACGGGGTGGGCGGGGCCAGACGCCACCGCAGAGACCGGCGAGGGGCGCAGCTGCGGCTGCAGGCAGGGGCGCCGGCGGGACAGCAGTGGGCTGGGCACCCGGAGATCGTCTCCCCCCAACCCCCCTCCCGCTCAGGGTCGCACAGGCAGGAGGCAGAGTCTGGACGCTCTGGGGACGAGGGCGTCCGTCTCAGGATCCTGGGACAGCCACTGGGCAGGTCAGTGGGGTGGGGGCCCATCCACTGACCATCCTGCGCGGCGGACGCCGAGGCTAACAGCAGGAGCAGCAGCTGGACGAGGGGCCCCGCCATAGAGACTCCCGGGCGGCTGCAGTGAGGAGGGTCTTTCTGGAGGCGCTGGAAGGACAGAGTTCAAGAGGCCAAACCTCAACCCAGGCCTCAATGCCTCCACCCTCAGACTCTCAGGCTTCCTCCCTCAGACCCCCAGCCCCTCCTCCCTCAGCCCCAGGGGTCCACACGCCCAGCCCTGCTTCCCGTTGGGACTGAGAAGTTTGCCCCCATCACTCTGGTCCAGGAGTTCCCTGCGCCCCCAGATCCCAGGCTGGGACCTGGAGCCCCGTCCCAGCCCCCGCCGCGCCAGACCTCTCAGCCCGAGCGTCTCCGTGCAGGGTGCGTTGCGGGTGGGTGAGAACCGGGCTCCAGGTGCGTCTCTTATAGGCGGCCCCGCCCCCGCGCCCGGGGGCAGGTGGAGCTGGCTCGGGGACGCCCCTTCCTGAGCCGAGGGTTATCTCAGCGCCCCGCGGCTCCAGCCTCCTCCCCCGCACGGTCCGCAGGACCCGCCGAGGGTGGGAGCGGACTGCCAGGACCAGGACCCAGGGTGGCCGGGGGCCCCCTTTGGGGGGCTGCTTAGACCCTGAGGTCTCACGGGCCTGTGACTGTGGGAACTTGTCGAAGCTGAATCGCATCCCCGCCGTGCAGCCTGAATTGACTCCCAAATCTCAATAAACGAAGGATATGAATTAAAAACTGGGAGGCAGGGGCTGGAGAGCTGGTTCAGCAGGGAGGCACTTGCCTTGCGCGCGGCCGATCAGGATTAGGTCCTCGGCATCCCATAGGGTGCCCCGAGCACAGCCGGGAGTGATCCCTGAGTGCAGAGCCAGCCCTGAGCTCATCTGGATGGGGCCCCATAAACAAACCAACCAACAAAACCCTTGAGGGGCTGGAGCAGCAGGACAGCCCGCAGGGTGCAAACGACCTTTGCACATCACGGACTGGGATTCTATCCCTGACACCACATAGGGACCCCTGAGACCACCTGGAGTGATCCCTGAGCACAGAGCCAGGAGTCAGCCCAGAGCAGCGCCAGGTATGGACGCCCCAAAGAAAGGTGAATCCAGAGATGGTACCCATATGGTTTAGGGATTAAGGCTTGTCTGGCAGGAGGCTGACCCAGATCCAGTTGGAACTTTGTGTTCCACCGAGCACTGCCAGCATGGCCCAGTAATCCCCAGCACACGGACTCAGCAGCACCCCAACCACAGTCGAACAACTCCGTTGCTTGAGAATTGCCAAGTGGATCCCTGGGCATTCAGAGCACAGCTTGGGGAGGTGCCACCCCCCCAAACAAAGTGAGTATTGTGTGCTCTATCTGCACCCCACTAAATGTCACTGTAACCCAGCTGGCCTGGCTTTGCCTAGTGTACACTGATCTCTACATGCATACTAGTGTTTGTACAAAAATATCTGGGCGCCTCAGACGTGGCACAGGGCCTTAAGCTCTCCCCTTGCAAGTGGCCAGCCTGGCTTTGCTTCCTGACATGGTGTTAGGTGCGTGGAGCACCACCCAAGGAAATTCTGAGCACAGAGCTGAGAGCAGTCCTCAAGCACTATAATTTGCATTTAAGGCCAGAGAGATAGCCCAGTGGTCTGAGTGGGTGCTTCGCATGCATAAACATGGTTCCACCCGCTGATAGAACGTTCTTGTTTGTTTTTGTTGGATCACATCTGTTAGTGCTCAGAAGTCTACTCCCAGCTCAATTCTCAGGGGTCACTCCCGGAAGTGCTGGGGAACATGTGATGCCAGGGGTTGAACCTGGACCTCCTGCATGCCAAACATGTGCTTCAGATGTTGGAACATATCCCTGGCCCTAACGTAATATTTTTGCTCTCTGTAAAGTATCTTCAGCAATTTTCACTCTGCATGCACTTACTGGACAACTGTTTCCTCTTTCCTTAAACAATTGCATATTGTCTGGACCTTGGTTTATGCAATCTGTTTCAAATTCAAGAATCTTTGGGGCCCAGAGAGACAGCTGTGGGTGTGGAGGAAGGGGACTGACAAGTGCTTTGCATACAGGAGATCTGGGTTTGATCCCCAGCACTGCTGGGAGCCAAAATGAACACGGAGCTGGGAGGAGCACCTCTGGCAATGCTGCAAAGCCACAGAAATGAAAATCCAAAGGGAAGAAATTTTGATAATTTTAACTGTCATGAGGGTGAAGTTCCTGGCCTGTTCATGAATGCATTGAATGCTTGTAATTTATTTAATTGTAATGAGGTATTGGATATGCCAAACACAGTAACAACAAGTCTCACAATGGAGACATTACTGGGCCCGCTCGAGCAAATCGATGAACAACGGGAGGACAGTGCTATACAATTGCATAATTAATTAATAAAATATATAAATGTAATTTGTGCTAGAAACTCAGGTAGTTGAGGACATAGCCCCCAACAAAAACTAAACAAGCAGACCTGGCAAAATAGTACAATGGATAGGGAACTCGCCTTGCCCGGGGCAAACCAGCACTCAATCTCAGCATCCCATATGGACCCCCAAGTCTGCCAGAAGCAATTCCTGAGTGCAGAACCAGTAACCCTGAGCACTGCCAAGTGTGGCCCCCAAAACAACAACAACAAAAATCTTTTGTTTTTCATTTTATTTTCCCCTTACTCCTTATATAAACACTGTTTCTATAAAGGTTTACAAAGTTGTTCATGATGATTTGTTACAGACATTCAATATTCCAACACCAACTCTGCACCTTCCCACCACCAGTACTCCAATTTTTCCAACCACCCCTTAAGCCTGCCCCTATAGCAGGCCCTCAATAATTTATTTTATAATAAATTATAAGTTGAGTGAATTATAAATAATTATAAATTATATTCAATATGCCAAACACAGTAGCAATAAGTCTCATGATGGAGACGTTACTGGGCCCGCTCGCGCAAATCGATGAACAACGGGAGGACCGTGACTGTGAAATATAAATATATATAATTATAAATAATTCACTAAAAGAATGGTCAGAAAAATGTTTCCTTAGAAGAAGGTTAGAAAAGATTGTTGTATCTCATCATGGAGCCAGTAAGTCTTTGTATAAGAGATTACTAAGATGTTGTTGCAGGTTAAGTCTTCTGTATTTATATTTTGTTAGTCGAAATTGGTTGCTGTCTACATTACATCCCATTCAATCTGGTGTGCTGCTCCTGGTTTATCAGTGTTGTAGAATTTGAAATGTTTCATATGGTGAAAATGGCCATGTGCTCCAGGAAGTCCAAAGTTTTTCATAGAATAATACGGCTGAAGTTAAATTTTTAACTGGGTGGCAGTTTTGGGCATTTGTACGAATGCCAGGGCATCCGGAAGTACAAAGAGATGGTGGGAGGTTGCTCATCCCTGACTCCATGAAAGCCTGGAGATTCCAGTTGCAAAATTCACATACCTGAGACTTTCAGCAGATTAATTTCTGGATGAGGCTCATCCCTGGCAGTGAGGTCTGGCCCAGAGCATGGGAGAGATTATGGAGTGTGGAGGATTTCCACTGCCGGGCTCAAGCAACAAAAATCTAGACAAACAAACAAACAAACAAACTTTCTTCTTAAAGGCACGGATACTAGGTGAAAACTGAGTATAAAAATAGCACAAGGGGGTACGGTGCCACCAGCAGGTCAGTCTGTACCTGTGAGGCGAGTGCATCAGCAGCCTGATGGCACCTTCAGACTTCCAGATACCCCAAAATTGCTGCTGTGCCTTTGGCCAGACCCCAAAAACTTGGGGCAAAGTTTACCAAGAAAGTACACGGTCAAAAGTTAGGTATGTGGGAGACACACCCACAAACCACCTCCGGCTCAGCTATATAATTGGAGGTACGGCCTCTCTGGTTCCTGATTGAACTGCTTAATGGCCATGATCCCAGAGACTCAGAAACAAATCTCGAAACCCAGCGGCTTTTGGCAGAAATGCGTCCGGTCCCTGCAGTAGGTTACAAGTGCGGGGCCAACCCAGATGGGAATACATTTCGTGCCTTGGCCTGTCCCCCCTGGCGGCCCAGTGGTCGCCATCCTCCAGAGGCCACTGAACAGTCAGATTTGGGCCTGCAGTGACGAGACACACAGGGCCTCACGGGGTGGGGGTGGAGCTGGTCCTGTCCACCCCACCCCAACGAGACCCCAAGTCATCGCCCACGAACGGCTTCTCTGGCTCCTGATCAAGCTGTTTAAAAGCCATGATCCCAGAGACTCAGAAACAAATCTCGAAACCTTGAAACCCAGCGACTTTTGTCAGAAATGCGTCCGGACCCCACAGTAGGTTACTGTCGCCGGGCCACCCCAGGGTGGAAAGGGTGTTGTCACTCCGCCTGCTCACCCTTGGCGGCTCGGTGGCCATCATCCTCCAGAGGCCATGGGACAGTCAGGCTTGGGCCAGCAGTGACGAAACTTGTTGGGCCTCATGGGATGGGGGTGGAGCCAAGCTTGTCCTCCCCATCCCAAGGAGACCCCAAGTCATTGCCCACGAACGGCCTCTCTGGCTCCTGAACAAGCTGCTTAGTGGCCATGATCCCAGAGACTCAGGAGCAAATCTCAAAACCCAGTGGCTTTTGGCAGAAATCCCTCCAGATTTAAGTGTTGAAATTTTGGAATTTCAAAATCACGCGGCCACTACTACAGCTGTGTGACATCATATGTTATTCATAACCAGCAATAGAAAACAAATTGTCTACAGTTACCTTTTCAGCCGATCTGAGTGTTGGGGTAAAATCTCAAATAATAATGGTGGGTCTGGTGTCAAAATATTGAATGTGATCAAAGTAGAGAGAGAGTAATGTGGAAATCATCTGCCCCCACAGGTAGCGGGGAGGGTGTGGGATGGGGGTATACTGGGGTTGTTGGGGGTGGAGAATGGGCACTGGTGAAGGTATGGATGTTTCATTGTATGACCGAGACTTAGACCCAAAAGCTTTGTAACTGCTCTCATGGTGATTCAATAAATAAAATTATAAAAAATGAAAAAATATAGCATATAAGTTTTTACAAAAACAAGCTTCTTTGTTGCTAAGACTTGAATG